GACTCTTTAAAACTACACTACGGCTTACTAGTTGTAAGATACAGGTGCAGAGCTCCAATAAACCACTGCTCCACTTAGAAAAAGCATCTACAGTATGCGAAACCCCTTAGCCCTTTCTCAGCTTCCCCTACCTCACCCAATTTACAGAGACACCAAGTAATTAGGCACTGAGAAATACTCCCTAACACACCATAACTCACAGAATATCAGACTAATCAGGAACGGAAGCGACCCATGGAGATCACCTAGTCCAACACCCTGCCATAACTCGGTCACCTAGGGCAGGTGATAAAGGTCCGTCCAGGCGGGGGTTGAATGTCTCCAGAAAGACATCCGTCCAGAGAGGGATCCTTTTTCCTCTTGCCGCCACGGACGAGAACGGGCCAAGCACACCAAGCCCCCACACCGAGCTGGGCGGGGGGGAGCCCGCAGAGAGCGGCCGCTCCCCAGGCCGGTAGCCCAGCGGCAACGAGGCCTCCCCGCGGCGCGGGGGGCGGCGGTCCCTCAGCACCCGCGGCAGTCAAGGGGCCCCACACCGGCCGCAGGGAGCGGTCGCAGCGCCCCCCGGGCCCAGCGAGGGCGGGCAACGCGAGGCCGTGCTTACCTCTCTGGGGGACCGAGCCGCGGCCTGCAAGGAGGCGACGTAGCGCTCCACCTCGGGCTTCGTCCGCCTCATCATGGCGCTGCCGCGGCAGCGGGGGCTGCGCCCGGCCTCCGTCGCGGCTGGAACGCGCCTTCCCGGCCGGCCCAGCGGCCTTGGCCCGGCGCCGGCGGAGAGGAAGGCGGAGGGAAGGAGGGAGGAAGCGCAGGAGCGACGCGGCCGCCGCGCGTTACGCAAGTTCCCGCTCAGCCGTGCGGCGCGCGCAGCCCCAGCGCGTGCCCCGCTCCCGCCCCCATATCAACGGCCGGGGTGGGGCGGGGCCTGGCCGCGCCTCCGCATGCGCACCGGGAGGGGGGGAACGAATAGACAATCTGTCAAGGAAAATTGTGACAAACCAAGTTTTAGCACTTTCTCACCTAAAACTACAATAAACACACCTCATTAGTATATAAAAATATATATGGTGATATTTATCACCTAAATAATATACCATATATATATGCATATACACATATATATACCTATATATACATATACATACGCACGTGTGTGTATATGTATGTATACATATTTAGATAAATTTTTTTTACCTAAAGCTAAGTAACAGTTCTGGCGCCCTCGCCATAAGAAGGAGAGGCACGAAGTTGATAGGAGGAGCTATCCTCCTAGGAGCATCTCCCCTAGGAAGACAGGGTGAAGACGCTGAGGCTGTGCAGCTTGGAGAAGGTTCCATGGAGACCTCATAGCAACCTGCCAGTATCTGAGGGTCCTACAGGGAAGCAGGACTCTGTCTGGAACTGTAGTGATAGGACAAGGAGTAATGGGTACAGTTTAAAGAGGGGCAATTTATGTTAGATACAAGGAAAAAATTCTTCACTGTGATGGTAGTGAACCACTGGCACAGGTTGCCCAGAGAGGTTGTGGGTGCTCCATCCCAGGAAGTTTTCAAGGCCCGGTTGGATAGATCTCTGAGCAATCTGGCCTAGTGGGAAGTGTCCCCCATGGCAGAGGCTTGGGACTAGACCTTTGAGGTCCTTTCCAACCTGTAATATTCTATGATTCTGTACTTTGTGGTTCAGAGCAACTATAAATTTAATCTGTAAGCATAAGGGCCTTCTTACTGAGATCCAATGCTCTAGAAAATGAGTCTTCAAATATTGTAGCAGCTGTGGTGAGAAACCTTTCTGTCCAGGCACTGTGGACAGTATAATTGAACAATTAAGTTCTAAAACACAGCTAGGAACATGGAGTTAAAGATGGACCAGCAACCCTCAAGGCAGGACAGATTTGCAAATTGTAGTTTTACAGGTTTGGTGGCTCGAGGATGAGCCCTGTGGTGAAATTCCTAGCAGGAAGCCTCAGATTCTACTCACCGGAATTAGCCATCTTTCCTGCCAGTTCAGATGCTTTGGTCAAAATGAGGCCACTGGGCCAACTCTCTGAAGAAGCGTAATTAAAAATTTCTCCACTTCTCCATTTCAAACAACCCATTGACAGTCACTGGATTCCTGCTACACCTAAAATATACTGACAGCCCCACAGCTCTTACCCTCTTTGCAGGAAAAATAAGGAAACATAACCAACTTTTTTTCTTTAAGACTAGCAACATCCAGGTAAGACCCTGACTAAAAGAATTAATCCTCTCTTTTATTCTTTTTTCTATTAATGGTGATTTATTTAGACATTGGATGCAATTCCACACACACACTGTCTTAGTTTAGGGCAAATTAGGAAGGAAAACTCCAAATGGGGATTTCCCCAGGGAAATGCCCCTCCCCACCAACTGGTCTGGGAAAAGAAAAGAAAAAAAAAAATTCCTTGGAGAGAAGTGGAAAAAGCTGTTTATTTAACAGAAATTGAGTAATATTAAATAATAAAACTTCTTGGTGTTCGATGGGATGGCAAATCTAGGAAGAAAAAAGTCCTTTTTCATGTGGTGTAGCTCGGCTCGCTCAGGTTCTTATCAGTCCCTCCGGCGCTGGAAAGTGCCGAGGCCCAGGCCCCGGTGGGCCACAGGCGTGAGCTCCCGGGGTTTGGCTGGGTGTTCAGTCCAGAGCAGGCTTGCACAGATCCAAGAAAATTGGGAAAAAAAAAAAAAACAAAGGTCCAGGGAACTCCTCTGCCTCAGCTAGCTAGAACTAACTAAAAGCCAGAGAGAAGCTCTGTCCCGCTGTCTGTCCGTGCTGCAGACACCACAGTCCAGGAGCGGGATGTGTGGGAGTGATGTTTTTCCTTAACACAAACTGCGCGCTTCTTCTTCCCCCTCTCTTGCTCTCAAAGCCAGTCTTAAAGGTGCAGAACTTAATATATAACATAAACCAGACGATTGGGGATACCAGTATCATAAAGTCACCCCAGGACAACACAAAAAAAAATCCTCTGTACTTTTTTATGGTGTGGCTGCAGCTGGGATTATCAATTATTATTAGCTGGGATTATCTGCACCTGCCAGTAAGTAACAGAGGTGTTGGTGCTGGTGCAGAGAAGAACATTGGAGTTTACTTGACTCACTGGAGAAGATTACCGCACTTCAGCTGAGGGGGAGGCATGAGAAATTGCCTTCATATAAAGCAGGTACTTTGGCACTGGTCACTGTCTCACCCATTGCTGTGGAAGTGGCACCCCCTATGTTGTCACTGGTAGTCTCAGTGGCAGGCAGGATAGCACTGACTCGAGAGCTGTCCCTGCAACCTGAGTGTGCTCAGCACAGCTCGCTGCCTGTGCACTGGGACTGAGCACAGGACATGCCACTGCCAGCAGCAGAAAGGCTTTAGGCTCAGCTCTTCCCCCTACAGCGATATCCACTGGGCTTTCTTGAGTGCTCCCTACTGTTAGCTTAACCAGGCTTTCTAAAAGAACCTCTCTTGCCCATGCATAATTGATCCATGTAGCAGAAAGGGACAAAGCTTCTGAGGTATTCATTCCCAAATGCTAGGCTCACAGATTCTTTGATGGACCTTACAGAGGTCATAGGTAGAAAAACAGTACTGGGCTCTGCCTCTTTTAGGAAAGCATGTGCAGCTACATGAAATGTTTATAATACTTTGGGCCAGGAAGTGAGCTTCAACACCAGATGTGTAATTGTCCAGGCTGCCTAATTACTAACTTGCTCCCCAGCTCTGCTTTGCAACTGCTTTGCAACTGCTTTTAATTAATCCTCCTCATGACAATGTCCAGGGGTATTATACCAATGACAGTTCATGCCAAAGACCTCCCAAGAGAGCAGTATGGATTTGGGGAATTCTCCACTTGACATAGGGCTCCAGTAATAATATTTTCACCACAAGGGTGATGAAGCATTGGAGCACACTTTCCCCAAAGGCCTGTGAAATCTCTTTGCATGGTGATGTTCACAGTTTGGCCAAGAAAGACCTTCTGCACTGATGCAACTCTGAAGTTAGACCCACTCTGAGCAGATGGCTGGGCTAGATAGTGGTCCCTCTCAACCAACATTTTTCCGTGCTTCATCAGGCTTTGAACCCCCAAGTACCCTCAGATGCTTTAAGTGTTACATTGTGGGGTCTGACACACAGACTAGAGTTCATGAAACAGAAGATGCTGCCTTGGTGAACTGTAGCACAGTGATCACCATCAGGAACCTGGAAATAGAAAAATCCAGCCTGTGTCAGGCCCCAAGGGCCACCAGAGTGGAGAGGAAATCTGAGGCCACTGTGCTGCAGATGGATGTAACCCTGAGCAATGTGGATATGAGCCAGGTCGTGTCATTTAGCTTTGGGGCTAGTGACCCTTCTGTCTCTGAGCAGTAAGGCTGGGCACATAGAGGCTGAAGGAAAAGATATACAGTCAGTGTAACATGAAAACCTAGAAGTCAGTTATAACTTCAGAAGGAAGCAAGAGTGTGGTCTACTGAATCCATGGCACAGTCTAGAATTCCAACAGAGCTGCTGTGATAGTTAAGTAAACAATTTGTGAGGAATTTTAAGCTTCATAGTCTTCAACAGGGTCAGGGACTACATTTATGAATGTTAACAGCATTCAATAATTATGTAGGATAAAATAGTCAAAGAACCTAGCAATAAACTGGAAGTTTGGCATGACAGTTTCATTACAGTGAAAACAGGAGAGAAAAATTTAACAGCAGGGTGTATGTTTTACACTCAGACAAGATACTTTCTTTAAGAAAACCCAGTTACTGTGCTGATAATTCAGATAATTCAGAAAATATCCAGAAAAATCAGGCTATTCTTTATGAAACAAACTGTGGTTTCTTTTATGAACTTGAGAACTACATACAGACATGCCTTTAGGAAAGGCATCTGTCTCCTTTAAATCAGGATAATAAGGAAGTTTTTACATAGTTACAGGTAAAAGCTCAGGGATCCATGACAGCCTTGGTGTTTTCCCACCCATCTTAAGCATTTATTTCAGAGAGGCAAGGTTGAATAACATGGCCTTTATTGATGACACAGGAAAGCAGATGTTTTAAAGTAATACACTTTATCTGTTTAAGTCACTAATGTACAAAAATTTAAAAAACCCACAAAACAAAAAAAACTTCGTACCATCAAGAAGACCTAAGTAGCTGCATTTTCTATAAGAAAGGGAAAAATAAAACAAATTTGCATGGACAGAACTCAATGGTATAAAACAATTAAATGTATGCTATAAAGAATTTTGATTATTTCTAAGCTCAGTCCTTGAGGATGGCTAAAGAAGTAGATCCTAGCAGGATCAAACCTTGCATATTTACACTCAGAGGTGTAAAAGTAATATTGCCAGTTAATTGAAATACGCGTTTTCAGTATTGTTCTGAAAATCTATGAAGTCTAGAAGCTAAATTTTAAATGCAGATGTTCACATTTCAAATAAAATACTTCTTGCATCCTGTATAATTAAGGCAAAGTATGCTATCTTCTGAAAATACCTTCTATATAGTTTTTGCATAAAAATATGAAATAAAATATAAAACTATATATATTTAATGGTATACTGTTATGTATGGTCCAGCAGAATAAGGCACAAAAAGTAAATAGAATGCAAAAGCATATATAGAAGATAATGTGTTATTTTAAGTGGAATAGAGCAAAATTCAAGTAGTTCTGAGTATGCTCATTTCTTGCAATAGGAATACATTTTTTTATATAAGTATCTCATGCTAAGCCTGATGTAGAAACATTCATCATGTAACCATAATCTATAATTTCTATAATTTTATGTATGTAATTTGTACAGTGGCTGTATTTAGAAATCTGATAGTTTTTAAACCATCTGAGACAAGGCTCCTTAATGAGATGACTCGGCCTGAAATCCAAGAATTTTTCCGTGAGGCAAAGTATACTGGTTTCCTGCCCAAATCACTTGAACTGGACAAGTTTTGTCTGCATGCTTAATAAGAAGGTAAATATTTTCACTAACATAAATGACAATACACGTCCCTAAAGTTGGGCACATTTGTGAAGCTTGTTTTCACAGGTGGTGTTCACAAGCAAATTTTCTCTCTCTCAAAAGTTCCACAGAGAATTAGTGTACAGAATGGGCCACCTGCATCAGTACAATGGCATTATTGGTCAGAAACCTTTCAGGTGAGCTGGTATTTATTTTGAAAATATGGTCTGTTTTTCAACAACTAAGCATACACATATAGAGAACAGAGAATCTTAATATATTTTGTGTTGACAGAAGGCACACATCAGCATTTGTTGTCTGACTGCAGCCTCCAAGCAGCAACTCCCCCTTCCCCTCCCAAGTAGTATCTATAAGATTTTCATAAAGGAAGAGGAGAGCAGATGAAGTCTTTACTTCCTTCCCAAAGTTTCAGCTAATTTCTTCAGTCTTTTCTTCAGCTCTAGAGGAAACTTCTCATAACACTTTTTGCAGACAGGCTTCATATCAAACTCAACAAATTTATTCCTAAAACAACAAAGCAAAAGAAACAGACAAAGTTCTCTCAAATGATATAGTGAAAAAAAAAGAATTTAAGAAAAAATCTATTAAATATGCATAAGCAAAAAATTAACCCCCCAATTTATACAAACACATTAAGCTACTTTTACAAGTTATATACACTGTAGGCAGTGATTACAATACCCTGTTGAGTAAGTTATGCAGATTTTACCCAAAAGCCCATATTTATTAAGTGTAATTTAGAAAGCCTTTCAAACCTGATTGTAGACTAAACATAAGATAATGGAATAACAAGTTAGTACTTTGTGTTGCAGTTGCGTGAAAGATGTTTTGGTTTAAACAGCCGTAAGTTCATGCAAAAGTGCAAAAAAAACAAACATCCTTAGGACTAACCAAAGAAGAAAGGAGCCGAGATGGCGGTGAGAAGGAAAAGAAGTTTACAAACAGATTGGCTTTTTCTTTTTCTGCTTGTCTTTATCCTTTGCTTCACGTTCCCGTTTGGCAAGTCGTCGCTTAAATTCATCTGGCATTTTCTCATAACAGTGTTTGCAGACAGGTTTTAGATCAATTTCAACAAACTTATCCCTTTAGAGTTAAACAAGAAAAAATAAAGGATGGAAAAGGAAAAGAGTTAGGAAGACTAACTGAAGGAAGACCTGAAGAGACAGCTGAAAGAGATGGAAAGTACTAAGTGGAGCAAGCGGCAGAAAGAGGGACTTATTTCCTTGATGCTGCTTACATGTTTTTCATGTGGTAACAGCTACACTATAGCAACATCTACACTTTGAAGAGAACCACTGATATGTGTCGAAGACATCACACTTACTTGAGGGTTAGCTTAGTGTTGCAAGTTGAACAAGCGAAACAGTTCACACACCATGCTTTATTCAGGGCAGACACAACTAGGGAGATGGGAAAAAAGAAATCATTAGTTTTACCAATAAAAAGAAAAAATATTACAAAGATTTAAAGCTCACATATTCATGAGGTGTGAAAAACAGTCATTGATTATTGTATCAAGCATTAAGGACTGTAACAATAACATGGCCTTGTAATGTTATGTTATGGCCATGACTGGTGAAGCACACTTTAGAGTGTAATGAAGCAGGACTGTGAAGCATTGATACAGTTGTCTCTGAGGCAAGACCAGCTTAACCTATTTCTGCCTCCTATTTTTTGCTTCCACTTCATCTCATATCCAGCTGATCTCAGGAAATGCTTCTGTGAGGCCAAGTTCCAACTTAATCAAAAATGCTTCCAGCTGAAGAGCAATCCAGCAAAATTGTGTTTATATTTTCATTCAGTTTTATTTCTCAGATTCAGCTCAGACTGCACGGCAGTCAGCAGTTGCACTTGCCCAGCAGAAGAAAATAATGTGAAGCCAGCAGCCTGACACTGCTGGTAAATCAGCAGTACCAAGGTGAAAAAAAAAACTGGACCCTTATTCTTTGCTTTGAAGAGAAAGTAATTATTTCCTAGTTGTTCTGTAGGTAAATCCATTTCCTGCTCTTTCTCTCTTTCATTACAGCTTTCCAGTTTCCCTGTCAAAATTTTCTTAAGTTAGAGAATGCTGGAGAATATTTTTCTTATAATGTTTTTCTCACTCAATCTCTCCATGTTTTTCTCATAGTATTTTGTCAACAACAAGGAGAACCAAAGCATTGTCATGCTGAGGGGTTTTCCTGCTCTATGCGGCAAGCATGTCCACAGATACACAGTTATTCCACTGCTTTCCAGAATAATACTGGACAGGTGAAAGTCTTTCCCCCAAGTACTGCTCCCTCAGTAATGCAGTCATAGACAACCTTCTGAAAAACTGCTGCTGCTATTTGTTTCACCTGACAGAGAACAATACTGGATACCAAATTTGTGACACCTGACTCAAAATTTGTGTGCAGAAATGAAAGAAGAAATGTAATTGAAGACATACATTGAAAATAAAGAAATTAGTGTGTATTATTTTCAGTTCAGAGACCAAAACTTAAAATATCGGTGTCGGACTATATGGTGAAAGGTTAGAATCATACAGAGATGTAGTTATCAGAAAAGTTCAATTTCTGCTCATTCCAGCAGTATTTTCCTGAAAATGAGGACTCCTTCCTCTAAGGCATTTTGGATTGTCATTCTGTAGGCATAGTGCAGTCCAGAAAATGTAGGGAAAGCACATATACAGAATGTATGTTCTACATACTATGTCTATGTGTATGTTCTACTATGTCTATAGTTACCTGACTATAATCTAAGTTATGTCTCTTTTTGAATGTTAGAAGCTTTCTCCTACTATTTGCTGATACCTTTGGCTTAGATGAGGCTAACATGGTATTTACTTTGGACAGGGTAAACAGGCACATAATGTCACATTACTTCAGGTAGAATAATTTGCTTTTGGCATTTTTTCAGAGCTAATTATCAAAAAAAAACCCTCAAAGCCACCCCCTTCTCCCAAAAAACCCAATCAAACAATAACAAAACAAACAAATTACTTGTAGTTCTGCCTTTACAGGACATATATTTCCAAGTATGATCATTTCTGGTTTTGTGACATTATCATAAGCCTAGATTTTCAAAAGATGGGTGCTTGCGATTAGGTAAATATCTCCAGGATTCAAACTGACATAATGGGAATGAGGCATTTTAAAAAATTCCTAACTTCGCCCACCTATGTCTTTCAGGATCTAAGTATTTTTTCAAATTTGGCTCATGATCCACAAACTCATTTGTGGAGGTCTGTATGCTCCTTTTCACCCTTGCATGTGTTCTTTTTTGAAGGTGGTGTGTCAGGAAGCCATTTCTGAGCATCTTCCAGCATCCCTGGCCTCTTCATGTCACTAAGGGGTGACATGGCCATAGGGTGGTCTTCTATCATCATGAAATGATGTTGGGTTTCCCTACCATTCGGTCTCTGACTAATTTGCTCTAATTTAATTTCTGGTCAAGAGTACATCTGGTTTTGTGTTAATGAAAACCGGGCTGCTTCCCCCTTATTTTCAATTTTAAAGAGAACTTCCATCAAAAGGGAACATTAAGAAAACAGAAAAGTGCTTACCATCTCCTTCAATCACACGGTTGCAATGGAAACAAACATCACCAAATAGCTGAAGAGGAAAGAGAAGTAATATTTTTTTAATATAATGATTTTATTGAGGGTAACTTATCAAACTAGCAAAATAACTATGTTTCAGCTGATGGGCACAATCACTTTCCTGTTTGTTCTAGTGAAATAAAGAGAATGCTGGCAAGCCTGGTTTGGTTTTCCAAGTACATTTTGCATCATCTCATCACAAAAAGCCTTGATAATATTAAAGATGAAAACATTTATCTGCCTTTGATTCTCTTTAAGTATGATTTTGTTTTGTTTCAAGATTTCTCTAATCCTGAAGTTTTGAAATATAGCCGTTGGTGTCATATACATATTGTTACTAACCAGAAATGTAACATTTAGACTTATGTGCATGACTGAAACAATGTATTACTGTAACTGTAAGAAAATTTTATCTTTATGAAAAAAAAAGTAAATTTTCAGACAAAAACTATTCATTCTTTTTCCAAGCTTAACATTTGTCCACAATAGAACAAGAGGTGCCATGTATTTTTTTCTAACCGTGGGAAAAGACATCCACTCTCCGTACAGCTCTTGTCTGTGTATGGACTTAGCCCATCCCAGCTGCAACACGATTACTATGAATGTCACAACATTTACAGTCTGCAAGTGTGCCAGCACCAATCATCTGCCCTTCATCACTAATGACCAATTAAGAATCCATCTGTAATTAGCAGATGCCTACAACTCCCAAGTGTAACCCCTTCTCGTGTATTTATGTAAGCAAGAGAGGTGAATGTGACAGGACACAGATGGCTTCCAAGGAACAATATGTCCGTGCATCGTGGGGCTGGACTCCCCATCCAAGGGCATCTGGAGAGGGGTGGTACTGCCAAATGCAACTTCTACATAGATGCAAGTGGTCACTAGAGGGTGTCTTCTGACAAATTTAGTCTTGGAAGTCTTTATCAGCCTAATTACTGAGCAAGAGCATGTATCAACACAGTGTCTTAAGAGAAGCAGCTGCAGGGAAACCCACGCCACTCACTGGGGCTTCCAAATGCAGTCAGTGAGTGGCAAATCTTCTTTAACTTCTTAGGAGAGATTAGGTGTCATTAGCTGCTCTGATCTACAGACACGTCAAAACCCCAAACAGCCCTACTTAAGTACCACTAAGCTTGAAGAACAACTTGATATTTGTCCTGACCAGCCTTTGTGAAATACCTGCAGTTTTCTTTTTTAATGCCACACAGATGAATAGGGAAACCTGTATAAATTAAACACAACAGAACATGCTAACTGCCATTAAACCCAGAGGTCCCTTTAAGAATGTCCATGGTTTTCCATCTCTATCTACTAAAACCAAATTCTGAGTTTACCAATTAATGCCATTTTTAAAAATATGCAACCTTACCTGATTGTAGTGGGTTTCACAATACGCCAAGCCTTTTCTCTCATAGTGACGATGACCCAGGAATGGCTTTTCACATTTTGCACAAACAAAATGCTACAAAGAAAATTACAGTACATTTTTTTTATCTTTTGGAAGTAATGTTATTTTTTCTGGAAAGCAAACTAACCATGTCTACTACTTGAATGTGGCTGAAGTCTACTGAGCCATCTTGAAAACCAGAGTTAAAAGTTTTGTTTCTACATTTAGACCATTAAAATGATATTTCTTTTAATGTCTTCAACATTTCAATCCAAAATTTACAAAACAAAATCAAGCAATGAAATCTCATTTTTCATCAATTAACAGAATTAAAAGTTATTAAAATAACTTGTAGTATCATTATACCCTTGTGAAGAAAGCATTTCCTAGATGAGAATTTCAAAACAACAAAAGGAATAAACAATTTATCTAATAAAAATAGATGTGGAACTAAATCTTGTATGTGGCCTTGAAATATGAACTCTTACATGAACTATTAAAGACATATGTACATGGCAGGTGACTGTGGAAGACCAAAGGGTATTGTCATGCTTATTGACATGGTTGCCACAGATTTGACTGCTTTTCCACATGTACTGCTTTGAGCTCTGAAATTTTCATTTGTAAGGACCTTGCTGTGCTTCCTTTGGTTACTGATTTCAGTCAAAGCTCTCTGTAAGGTGGCAAATAACTCCTGTTTCACAGTGGAAAACCAGCCACAATAAGGTTGAAGAGGGATTTGGAGAAGGCATTTATAATCATTACTGCAAACTTTGAGAATAGTTTCACTGAAATTGATCAGCAAAATCACAGATAAATATGCTAAGGTTTACATTTGTAAGAGAGATTGTCTAGCATCTGATGTTTACCTCCACATGCCATTGTTTGCCCATAGCATTCACCACACGGCCTTCAATTGGTCTCCTACATGCCCCACAGATGGGGACACCCATTTTGTCATGGCAGGGTAAGCAGTAGAGTTCTCCTTTCAGCTCACGAGCATCAGCAGTAAGTTCCTTCCTGTTCAGAAGTTAATGGATTGAGAGCATGAATAAAGGCACTCAAAAAGTCAACTCTTGAGAGTTTCTAATCTCAAGTGAAAAATTAAGTGGAAAAAAAAAATTGCATTTGCTTTAGAATTATATTTATACTACAGTATGCAGCAGCATCCAATTTAACACAGTTCAACACAGTTCAAGCCTGATCACAGTAAACTGAGAACAGGCTGCAAAGCAATGTGCGCTGAGTCTCTCTGGAAACAGCTACCGAGCCATTGTCATTCTGCTTAAGCAGGACAAATGTGTGTGTGAAATCTGCATATGTTTGGTTTATATTCTGGTACTTACCACCAGTTTATTTTAGATTTGCATAACTGCAACTGAAAATAAAATGTAGTCCTCTACACCTAGTTATATTTTCTTTATATCAGAGAAAGAGAACTACAGACCCACATGAACTACACTTATTCATTTCCCACTGCAGAATCTTACAAACTCTACCTTTTAGTAATTTGTATGATTAGATACTGGGAACAGCTAAACCATAAAAGTGACCATAATCACAAATACTCTCAACTGGTTGCCACTGATAGAAGACAACATACTGTTATTCAAATCAGCCTTTGCTATGGCACTGAAATAGTAACTTCCTTTGCAGCAGAAATAAACAAGTAAGAATCCATGCTATGTCCTACAATGCTCCATGCTCATCCTACATCTCTGCATCAGTGCAGGATGTAGAAATGTGCAATTTCATGTGCTGCAGTTGCAGAAGATGATAAAATGAGATGGAAGAAGGCTTCTAAAAAAGGCAGGCTTTAAAAAGAGAGAACAACGTTTGGATGCTGTTGAACTTAACAAAACCACAGGCAAGATAGTAATTCAAGCAACAAAAGAGAACCACTTCTCTTCCCCTCCTGGTAGAATAGTGAGCTCTCATTTCACTACTATAGAAATGGTATCTGTGTCAATACTTTGTATTTTGTAAGGTACCGCCTTGTCCTGCAGAGTCCAATCTTTCTTTAGACCCCAGCAGGTCAGCTGTTGCTTGAACCCCACCATGCCAAAAGCAGTAAGTAACACACATCTGGCCACAAGATATTCAAACACCACCCCCTCTTATTAGTTGTTGGACAAGTTGTCACTTTAAATTGATGAAGCAAATAATCCCAGCATTTTCATGTTTCCCTTTGCAGCACTCAGGTTACCCGCAGTTTGCACAGTTGAAATGATCAGGGTGATAAGGATCATTTTTGAATATGAGAGGCTGTTCATCAATAATGGCATGACACTTCTGGCAAATGTACTTTCCCAGGCCTCTGGCTTTTTCCCTGTTATGGCAAGGACGGCAGAGGTGTCTGAAACAGCACAAAAAAAGAGAGGTAAGTATTGCTACCAGGTACTACAGTGCAAAATATAAACCAAAAATCTTTCAGAAACTCATTTCAATCAGCTCTTTTTCAAGTCTTGTTAAAACAACTTCATTGCTAAGGCAAACAAAGTTCAAAGCACCAAAAATGATTGCCCAAGTTCAGGGTGATCATTTAATTTTCTGTCACCACAGGAATACCATTTCATCAGCTCAGCTGAGTTAAAGCTGTGTTGAAACACAGAAAACAAAGTTTCTTATAGATTCTCATTGATGAATGTTTTACTTTCAAAATCTTAAACATTTAGACTGGAAGCTGTATGAACACTTCTGTAGATAATTCTGAATATAGCATTATACTTAAGAAGACAGTGGCCATATAACCCACTTGTAAAATAGTCTTTTGATCATAGCTGGCAAAAATAGCCTACTCTGTGAAGGGTCCTACTGAACATTAAGCAATTATTAATAAATATGGTGCCAAACTAGACCAAAATTGGAAAACCAGGTTGGAAAAAGAAAATAAACATTTTTATTAAAAAAAGGACAATGCTTCTGTATCTGAATGTTTTCTCTCTTATTCCATGTAATAATGACCCCAAAAGGTCACTGGGTAAAGAAAATGTTTGCCATGAAACTTGGTGTTGAAGCAGGCAAAATGTTAATATTTTAAAATACCCATTCTTCGTTTTGTGATGCACGATTAGATTTCTTATCACATCAAATACTTCAAGTTGCTCCATCCAAGCTGGAAAGCTTCAGGAACAAAAACCTCCCAGTCCCACTATTAGGTCATTTAATTTATGATCAGTAAGCAAAAGGAAGGGTGGAGATTTACCTGCCAGCATTCTTGACAAATCCAATATCAGCCAATACTTTTTGGCAGATATCACAGCAGAAGCACTCTGGATGCCAGCTATTGTTCATGGCTTTAATAACACGACCAATAATGAACTCACCTGTAAGAAACACAACATCAGGATGTAAAATACCATACTAGACAAACTTAAAAGTTTGTCAAATGAGTCACTACAATGACTACAAGCACCATTCCTTTCCTTACCCCAAAATCTTGTAGGACACATTGCTTTCAGTATTGCAATTCTGATTCCAAACCCTGGAATTTGGGTTTGTTTGTTTGTTGTTTTTTGTTATTGGTCAGAAGAAAACATCTTTGCTAGTGGAGGACCTTCTGCTCTTTATATACATGTATATATACGGTCCTTCTACATGCACACTCCACCTTCTCTCTGCAGTCATCCCTTTTTGGTCCCTTCACTGGTTTTACTTATTTGTTCTCAAGCTGTTACGAAATTTATGGAGTACTTCATATAATACGGGCTTTCTTATCTCCAAATCATCTTTCTCCATAAATTTCTTTAAGAGTATGACAATTTTAACTTGTCATGTACATAGCAGGGGGTTTCTACTCCACTAGGACCAAGCCTTGAAGGTACTCTATACTCAAGGCACAACAGAACTAAGCTTGGGTGGCTGTGGACCTCCTGTAAAAACACTCGTATGGAGTCCAAATGCAAAGGTGCAGTGAAGCTGCAGAACAGTCCAAAACACACAAATTCTGACCTACCACAAGGAGTCCTGTCTCATATGGCATTAAAAGAATAGTGTGACAACTAGTGTTTTGCATGCACAGTGTGACTGAACTGCACAGACATCATCACAGCTGATGGACAGTGTAGCCAGGGGCTCTGAGCAGTGCAAAATGTGTTGGGGGCTCAGCTTCATAGTGCTGTCAGAGGCTGAGTGCTGGCTTTGGAGATCAACTCCAAGAGCTGCCAAAGGGGAGTGATCAAGCAGTGTGGATGATAACATCCAGCATGCGACTCTGTAGCATTCCCATGAAGTCATGGCTTTTCAAAAACAAAATCTGATGGACTCCAGACGTGTCAAGAATGCTCAAGGCCTCATAGCTGACAATAGCCCCATTGACTTTGTGTTTATTAAGTACAAGCAGGAAAATCCCAGCTCTGGGCAGGACCTTGATAAGGTTTTAAGGGAGCTGGCAATACCCAGGAGAGAGGATAGGAGAAGGTGGAGATGTGCCAACTGGACAAGAGAAATCCTGGAGATAGGCATTATAACTCCTCACAAATTGCCACCAACTCATTTTTTCCTCTTCCCCTGCTTGTTCACATCTGCAGCCTTAAATTCATAGTTCCATAACATCTGCTTCCTTCTCCCTTGGTGCTCAATGCATCCCTCCACAAGAGGAAATGCCTCACTGAGATAAATTAAAGCTTTAACACCTTGCCAAAGGTGCCAAAGAAACACAAGAGTTTCCTTCCAGAGCAGTGTAGGAAATAGTCAAATAATGACTTCCCAGCTCTGGCCCAAAAAAATGTGTCACACACAGGGGAAAAAGAAAACATGCAAGTGATTACAGTGCAGCAGACGCACAAGCATTTACATCAACAGTGGCAAATAAAGAGCAGCCCTCAGTATCACATAGGATGGATTTAGACACTTTAGACACTGAAGCCTGAAAGGTATTTGGTTCAAAAAAATCAGTGTGGGCCCAGCTGACCATCACTTGATTATAACACTAGATGATAAATACTGTCTCAGCTTCTGTGAAGCAGAAGGACAGCACGGGTGGGTTACAAGAGTCAAAGCAGATGACAGAGTCTTGTTGCAGGGTTTCAGCTACATGAGAAGGGACAAATGTCAGCACATGGAGACTTACAGATATAAATAATCAGGAGTCATGAATGGTGTATACTATCAGGAGTTTATGAATGGTCTGTTCATTGGATCATTTAGCTCACCAGCTAAATTACTTATTAAAAGAATGCAAATTTTATTTTTAAATCCTACTGGTTTAAGCTGAACATGAGCACTTCCCAGAGAAAATATACAAGGGCAGCACATTTTTCCTCAGTGACATTCCAATTTGTGATCAATGTGAAGTATTTCCCCTTAAGTTGAAACTTACCACATTGATGGCAGCAAGGGGCAAAAAGCATTTGAAAATCATGTTCACAGTATTTCCTCCCTTCAAACTGCAAATAGAAAAAGATCTGAGCATTAGAGGGAAGAGGAACATGCACTTAACATAAATGCCGTAACAGCCTGATGTGTTTCCAGATACAATTAGGTAGTAAAACATGAGAGACTGAGCAAAAAAACCCAGACCATAAGCTACATGTGCTAGGCATTACATCCACCCACCTTAATTCACCTACTAGTTAGCATTTAGTGTTAACAGCACACCATTTCTCCAGTACTGCTGAGAGTGTAAGGCATTTTCTGTCATCCATTTACATCACAAGAGGTGTCTAAATTTTGACACACTACTGAAACGGAAGCAACCAAGCACATTCTGAGCAGGAAATTAGCTAACAAACAGCCTTGGCCAGCAGGAGGGGAGAAGCATTTTTCCCAAACCTATTTGATGTCTTCCTTGCTCTACATTTCCTGCCAGAATGACCCAGCATACTAGTGGAAGTACATATGGTGGAGGTTGGGGTAAGAATATCCAGGGGCGGAAATCTTTGCAATTTATAGAGCAGTTCAGCCAAAATACGAAGGGAAATAAGCCTTTTCCTTCATGATGCTTATTTCATAGAATCATAAAATCATTTAGGTTGGGAAAGACCCTTAAGATAATCAAGTCCAAATATTAAGGAGTAAAGTTCACAACATTGATCAAATTAAATTGATTTTAAGGGATTTGAATCTTATCCCAGCTTAGGTAAGTTCACCTACAGTTCAAGCTCTCACTGAAAAAAAAACCCATATGGAATAAAAAGATCCAACAGAACTACATTAGTAGCTTAGCCAAAGAATATGTAAAAACATGTAGGCAAATATGTGCAGAAATGAAAGGAAATGTTTAGATATCTTCAGGCACCATTATTATTAGACACAAATACCAATGAGCATGTCAAAACCAGGTAGACAATACTAGGTATGCTATAAAAGGTTTGGATTTGAATGTCTCAGTTTAAACAGTGGAAAAAGGAGGACAGCAGGAAACCTCGCTCCTTTCTTTTTACTGGGCCCAAGACAAAACCAAGTGAATAGCACAAAATACTACCCATAAGGTAAGGTTTTGTGCATGGACAGAAAATACAGACATGTGTTTCAAGATTACCTGTTGTATAATGTGAAATGACAAGGATCCAATATGATATAAATACAATAAATATTCTTGCAACTGGCTGAATGGGGATCTAATAAACATTTCACTAGACATTTATGGTTAGAAAATTCCTGTGCCCAACCTGAATTGCACCTATTAGGAAGAGAAAGACATTAACTCAGTACAGACCTTTTTAGAAATCTCTGACGGAAATTTATCAAGTTCTATTCCAGTACAATACTCCAAAACAGATTTTTTAAATTTTGGCTTTTAAAAAAATAATAGTTGAGAGGTACAGGGCTATTACTTTCTCAAGGAGTAATGGAAATTACTGGTTCATTGTGAATTGTGCTTGCTTCCTGCAGGATAAAATCCTTTTCAAACTGAAAAAAAATTGAAAGCTTCCTGTTCTGTGTAAACAAGTGGTCCAATGGGGTATGCTTAGGTTTGCTCCGATTTCAAAGCCACCACATGTTGATCTGAACAGACCAAACAGGTTTTCTTCCCCTCTTGTTTGCATCAGGCAGATTGGTTTCCATTCAGTCTTGTTTATATTTTCATCCTCTCTGTTCCTTTGTGCTGCCCTTTGTGGATGACCCAGCAGTTATTATCACAGAAAGCCTTGAGCTTCTGTAACAGATCTTACAGAACATAGTTTAAAAGCAAGGTCATTTCACTGTTGTATGCTGAAGGTCCATGAGGTAAATGGCTCTGCATAAAACATCTCACTGTGAAATAACCTCCAACTTACCTGCAGGTTTTTAGCTAACTTAAGTGGAAAGTCATGCACAAAAACTGAGACTTATAGATTGTTTCTCTAAGGTGTTTTGAGAAAACACTCAAGGTACAACTGGAATAGAAACAAACATGACCATCTGTTCTGCCATTAGTATAGGACTCTGCACTGTTACCTGTGGAGAAACTCTACAATAGCAGCTCTAGGAAATACACACCTTCCAGGTGGTGGAGTAGAAGCAGACCAGAATTAGTACCGCTTCACACCTAACAGCAAAGAATGGAGTTTGGCAACTCTACTGGAATGTGTTTGCACTAATTTTTGTTTAGATTGAGTGCATAAAAAAACTTGCTAAAATAATGTCACTGAGCAAACTGGAATACAAATCAAATATATCATGCTCACAGTTTCTGTGCAACGTAAGGCACACAGCTCTCAGAAATCCAAACTATCATTTCTAACACAGGCTCAAGAGGACATCCACAAAAGTCCTGCTGTGCGGTGCAGACTCTAAGCAGTGGATGGGCACCGCTTGTGCCTGCGAGCAACCTGGCTCCAGTGCTGGACCACAGAGAGCTGTGCTGATTGGGGTGCTTGCAAGGCAGCCCAGAGGTAAGTCCTGCAGCACAGGAGACCTGACCAGTTCCACCCCCACCCGTGGAACACAGTGTGAAGGCTTATCATGGCAGCGTTTGACGGCAAGTGTGATAAGCAGCTTAATGACTAACTGGGGGAACCCTGCAAGGCTTGCAATAGGCAGGGGAACAATGTTTGCCTTCCTAATTGCTAAGAGCTGGAAATAATTTCCAAGAAATACTAGCTTAGGTAAACCAGGCACAGAATAAACACAAGCTCATGCTGGGCAACCAACAATGCCTGCGTTTATGCACGGGAACCTGCTCAGAAAAACACATTACCAGGCCACACCTCCAAACACATCCATCTTCTCAAAGATTGTATTAAACCAGTCTGAGGAAGATGTCCTTTCTGCCATCTTCTCCAGTCAATGTTTTTCCTGACAGTGATACAGATTATCTCAAGTCCTCTGAGCACTGTCAGCCACTCTTGAGCACTCACAAATCTAAGCCCATCTTTTACCTGCTCAGGGCTTTCCTTCCTCTCACAGAATCACAGAATGAGTCAGGTTGGAGGTATGGTCATCTGGTCCAACCTTCCTGCTCAAGCAAGGTCATCCTAGAACACACTGCACAGAACTGCATCCAGATGATTCTTGAGCATCGCCAGTGAGGGAGACTTCACAACCTCTCTGGATAACCTGTACCAGTGCACAGTAAAGAAGTTCCTCCCCATGATCAGGTGGAACTTCCTGTGCATCAGTTTCTGCCCATTGCCTCTTGTCCTATTGCTTGGCACCACTGAGCAGAGCCTGGCTCCCTCTTCTAACACCCTCCCTTCAGATAATTATATACATTGATGAGGTCACCTCTCAGTCATCTCTTCTTGAGTCTGAACAGGCCCAGCTCCCTCAGTGTATCCAATGTAATTTTACCTCAATAATAATTGTGGCAAGAAGTGTCTATCCTAACTGAAACTTTCTACTTTCTATGTAACATTTCTCAGGCTACCCAGCCTGAAAAAAAATCCTACAAACATTCGCCAAAACACGTTTAGCACACAGTGTTATTTTCATTCCTGTGACAATCTATAGGCTTCCCACTTCTGACTTACTGTCTTTTGAGAGCAGCCTGTTTCAGTAAGTGAGTGCTCAAAGACCAATCATCATGAATATGAATGTTAACAAGGTAGCAGTAGGAAGCAAAATGCCTCCATCCGGTATGTCTAAGCACCGCTAGGATGCTTGCCTCTGCCACAGAGATTCAGGTTTGGTCACCCATATGCAACTGAGAGACTGTAACATTCCTGAGCTAGGCCCAAAAACAGGACTTTCTTTCTGCTGTAGTCTCCCCTAGAAGATACAGGCTGCCTGGAGCATGATTTCCCCATCTTCTATCTTTAAGGACCATTCAGCTTTCTGAAAGGGGTCCCTGGAACGTCTCATTGTTTTTTAAGTCAGAAAAAGAATGAATAAAGTATTCATCATTTAGAGAAAATACATTTTAATGGTTAAAAACAATTTTATTAACATAATTACAAATATTTTCGTTTTGAAATGTTTGTATCACTTTACATGGATGGCCTCTTTACCAAGTGAGCTCAGTATACATTAACAATTGTAAGGTAACTTGTTAAGTATCTAGTGGGGGTGTTCTTTTCTTTCAATTTAATTAATTCTGCCCCACAGCTCACCCTTTGATGTCTTATGAAATACTAGAGGCTGGTTTACTACAATTTGTGTAACACTATCCCTAGAGTCTTTTGATCCTCAAACAAGGTGAGAAAAAGCAAATCCACAGGAATCCTTTTAGGCAGTCTCTTTTGCAATCCACACTTCTTCCTCAGCCTCTCCTCATCACCACGTAACATGTCTCTGTAAAATTAGAAATGCTTCTATGGAAGATAAACTACTGTGCTCTTGCCAAAGGATGACACCTGTATGTGAGAGCACAGAATTGTTCCTTTTACACTCTGCTCATTTTCTGATTAATTTTGATTCATTATGACACAAATCCTGTAACTGCTACCCTAAGATGGACTGTAACTACTTGAGCAGGGCCTTATCTCTCTGACAGTAATTCCTTGTCTCATACCATCTATTGTTCCCTATGCCAATCACTTTGTATTTTATGAACCAGTCTAGAGCTTTCACTAAAGCCACTTCGTGCTGAGCCACATCCTGGATTCTCATGATAGGGGAATGTAAAAGAAAATGAAACCTATACAAAAATACCCTCCTAAGCTGAAGCAAATCAACCTGGAGCTGAGAAATATGAATGGGATCAGGGTTTAACCCCTCAAAGTGTGTTAAGATCTGAAAATTTCAAATGCTCTGTATTGTTAAACTTAAGAGGTTATCTTACACTAGCCTGTCTGGTTTGGATCACAGCATGCTCACATACAGATCATCTCTTTTCCAATGCCAAGGTGGATTCACTCAACTCAGCAATAAACCTCCTATGGACCACAGGATGGTGGGATTTCCCTCTATATGACTTTCTCCTAAGAAGTATGTTTTCTCTGTATTTCTGGTATGATACATCAGATTCACAAACTTCAGGGAAAAAATTTGCACTGAGAAAAAAAATCTCCAGGAGTTTTTCTCTCAGTGCTGATAACATTAAGGTCCACATTTAAAGAACATTATATACATTAATACCCTCCAAATTAGCACAGAAATGATTCTGGGGTTTTTTTTCTCCCTTTACTGGGCATACTCTTTCAGAGCCCAGATCCTCCCATGGGACTTTCTAAGCCATTCAACTGCCTGTAGCTACTTCTGCTATGGGAATGAGGGCTCAAGAAGGGGTATGGGGACAGGAGGGCTCCTCTGCCCCACTTACCTCATAGAAGAGCCCTTCGGGGAACTGCTGAAAGCACTGGGCGCAGACGAAGCACTGCTCGTGGTACAGCTCACCATTGCTGTTGACAATTTTCTCGGCAGGGGCGAAGCCCCCCCTGCAGCGCTCGCAGATGGCATTTGCAAGCGCGTTCGCCATGTTGCTGTCATTAAAAAAAAAAAGAATAAAAAAATAGAAAATTAACCTAAATAGACAACAGGACTGGTTGTGGGTCTTCCCTCCTCCCCACCCCCACCAGGTGAAACGGAATCAACCTAATGCTAAGCTGATCAAGTTGTTCAATGAATTTCATGGCTTGTGCCATCTCCTCAGAAATAAAGTTACCACTTCTCCCTGCTCCTAACTCTTTAGAAACAAAATCCCTGAGGTCCACTTTAATTAATTAAAAGCCCCAAATGGAAACATTGTCACTACAGCTTTTTATGATGAGAAAAGACAGGCAATTCAAAGTACTATAAAAATTATGAAATACATTAAGATTATTGACAAAAGGGAAAATATTAATGATTGAGGACTGGTGTTGCACAGTGAAATATAAACAATTTATTGTAAGCCAATTCTTAATTCTAAAGTATGTGCATATATATAACGGCATTAGTTCACAGCTCTAAATAAACAATGTGGAAGACTGTGCAGGATTTAGTCTGGCAGACATTAATGAAAAACAGAGTAGTTAAATAATTATCCTTTATACGAGCTCTGCATAGCTTGAAGTCATTTTACAAATTTAGTTTGAAATCATGGGATTCTTCATTGGTTTGTTAGGGTTTATGTCAGGGAGCTCAGCCCATCATGTGCCAGCTCATAGCCCACTCCAGGGCCAAGGGGGAGGGTGGGAATGCTCTGACTGCCCCACTGCGACCCACACACAGGCCAACACAAGCTGGCAAACCATGTCAGGGACGCAAAGAAATATTGAAACAGCAACCTGGGTTGCTTCTCAAAGGTACAGGACCAAAGAAAATGGCAATGAGGTAGCTGTTCACATCTGTGGAAGACAGTACAGCTGTGTTTCAGTTAATTAAGGCCTGAAAAAGGCTCTTTAGATTTTCCCTTTGCAAAAGTTTTGTCACTCATACCTAGACTCTCAAAGCTCTGCCTTTCATGATCACCCCTCTGTGCTAATACCATGTGGTAGCAGAGAGCAAATATAGGGCAACAGTCTAATTTGATTACAATCTGATGTCAGCTGACAAAAGCACCTACTCAGAATGTATCTGGAAGGTTGTTACACAAGTGATATTATTTGAAACACACGTGTATGCATGCACACATTTTGATACAGCTATCATGCTGTGACAGCAAGTGCAGAGTCCACAATCCTCTGCAAGATGCCAAGCCTTCCTTCTTATCCTTTCAAGGGGATAAGACCTCTGGGCTCCCACCATGTTCAGTAGGAATTGAATTCATTCCTTACACACCATCCATGGGAGCAAGCAAACACCTAGCACGTGGTTCAAAATGGAATGTGTTTTATCTATTTCTTACACTGTCTCACAGAAGAGCCCTACACAAGGTCACATCTGACATGTTATTATTAGCTGGCACTTTTTTTCTCTCCCTCTTGATCTTTGCAGATGAGGGAAACAGTAAGTGCCATCCAAATATCCACTGCCCTCACAGTGAAATGTGTGGGCAAATTTCACATGCAGATCAGATGCAGGATGGTCTAACCCATACATAACAGACAGACCTATGGACAGACTGCAGTGACTATACACATAAACTGTGATCAACTATAAAGCTGATGGTCTTCATGGACCATGTATGCTTTCTGTGGGGCAAAACACCAGTCAATTTCTCCATTCTCCTTATCAATCTAAATGAAGAATAATCACAAGAGAAACTGGCATCTTTCATCTTCACTTCAACAATGCTCGAGCATTAAGGATGTTAAGCACTACTACATGTAAAGGATAATCCAGGCAAAAACATAAAACAAAGTTCAAGAACACATAAAAACAAAGTTTGCCTCTTCAGGAAGAAGTGCTTCACTTCTAAACACATAATATATGTAAAACTAGTGAAGTATGTAATACTTCTGCATTAATGAAGCAGTTTATCCATTTGCCCAGAATAACTAGCAAACAACCTGAAGGCAGAGAGACTACTTTACAAATTCCAACACCATTTTACTGCAGATAAAAATTTCTGACGCAATTCATGATGAAATTTAAAGTAACAGTTCAAATTTTAGTTGACAGTTACAACTGGCAATGTTTCAAGCAGAACAGTGGCAAAGGTTGGATGAGAGAACAGCTTGCGCAGCCTGAACCTCAGATCTCAGATAATAAAATACATTATGTACAATACACCAGTAATGTCATTGCAGTTAGACCCCAAAGCTGAACAGAATGAACTTACAATCTTGCATAAAAGTCACAAAATTCTTTGTAGAGTTTTATTTCACTGTGCCTACGTTGCAATTTTGACACTGGTTTCTCGCCTTCATTTCCTGCAGAGTTGTGAGCATCAGGAGCGACCTTGTATGCAATCTCTTCATCTTCTGGGATGGGGTATGGCTGAGCTCTGCGCTGGAAGTCCATCTTGCTCTGATTGCTTTCCCGGGTGTATATATTCTATGCTTATACTGCAAAGAAGCTGTAGCCAAAGTCTGCAAAACAATGTGCTGGACTTCCCCTTGTTCGCAGCAAAGTGATTTACTTTCACAGCCCCGTGTCATGTAGCTGGAGCTACTCAGCACCCTGCTAGAGCTTCAAGTTAAAAGTTCAGTGGCAGGGCTGTGTGCCTGTCACACTGAGATTTACTGAGGCTGGCTGTGCACAGAGAACACTCCCCTGCCAGGCCCTCATGTAAACTCGAATGCTGGAAAGGGTCTTCACTGTCACTTCACTGACAGAAGCTGCCCAGGAGAGCTGTGGCGTGAGTAACCTATGTGAGTAAATAAGTTCACCACCGAATTTGTCTGCAGCTTCTTTCTGCTGCGAGGGTGTGGAGGCAGCGTCCAACAATATTTTATCATGGGCAAACCAGCAGTGAAAAGCAGGAAGAGAATACTGCTGTCTCCAGGTAAATATTGCTTTAATGCTATAGTGTGTTAATTACATTGTAAAAATGGCCTTTATAATGATCCACTTGTGTTTTCTAAGCCATATGTGTTGAATTTATCTATAAGTGTCTTTTCTCTTGTCAGTACTTCAGCCAAGGGGTAGGTACAGGCAGTTTGATTTCTGTTGTGTTTCTCAGGCCATTAATGAAATTGACAGACACGCCATGGACAATATATGAAGGAGGAAAACCAAAGCTTTATTTCCAGTGACCTGCTGCATTTAGAACAACTATCCAATGTAAGAACAGTAACTGAACTAAGATTTGCAGCTAATAATTACACTCCTTCAAGCTCTCCCTATTTGAAGCACAGTGCTTGTGGCAGATGTGGGACACTTGGCTTCTTGCACTTTCTAGCTGCAGAAAAGGAAGGCTTTTGGGAAGCCCTCCTGAGTAACTAACTTTTGTGTTGAACTGTCTCAGCCTTGTTAGTAATAAGCTGAACTGCAGAACTGCATGCACTTTGTGCTCATGACACCTAGCACACTGGCAGTTGAAGAATCTACTAGTCTGTGAGAGAGCATGAGGAAGCAGAGGATGACAAGAAGGAGATGAGTAAACAGGAACAAATATAGAAACTAGAAGATCAGAGAATCATAGAATCATTTAGGCTGGAAAAGACCTCAAGTCCACTGAGTCCAACCATTAAACTGATAATGCCATATTCACCACTAAACCAAGTCCCCAAGTGTCACACATACAAATATTTTAAATACCTCCAGGAATGGTGACTCCAGTGTTTGACAACATTTCCGTGACAAAATTTTTCCTGATCTCCAATCTAAACCTCCTCTGGCACAACTTGAGACCATTTCTTCTTGTCCCGTCATAAAATATGACAGAAGGTCCAGTCAAGGCTACAATTTCTTAATATACCTGCACCCTCCTGCTGAGGATCTGGTTGATGATGGTTTCTGGCCATATACCTCACCAGCAGCTGGGACAGCTTGCTCATCAAGTGTACAGCAGCCCACACACCACTCTCCATGCAGGCCTGAGCTTGAACACAGCCACCTTCCCGCAGCTCAGCCAACACAGTTCTACGCTGCTGCTTCTGCTGACACATCTGTGGAATGGGTTTGGTCAGTCTCTTTCCTCCACTTCCCCTCAACAAGGAGCAACCCCTTAGGCAAGATATTTCCCTGTGTAGGTGGGACCCAGGCAGCATGACCCTGTTTATCTGCCTGTCCATAGGTGTGATTATTCACCCTATGCCACAGCTACCAGGAGTCACAAGCTCTAACAGGCAAAGGAGGCTGCACCCTCACCACTGACACAGCCTGGCTGCAGCTCAAGCCCTATTTTAACCTGTCGTGGGGCAAGCTCCAGATGAAGCAATGCTCAGACTGTAGCCCTAAGCCACAAAGATCTTGCCAGAGCACCATTGCAGTCCTGGAACAAAAGGTTTCTGCATTCTCTGGAGAATGACTGATGAAAATGAGCAGTGTCTGCCAAAAGACTTGCAGGTATAGTGATGCCAGTTCTTTGTCTTGCTTCCTAACATTTTCTGCACAGGCTAATGTTGAGCTTCTGTGGGTATAAAGAACTTCAGTGAGACTGACTGCAGCGGACTAAAAATGCTGATTCATCCAGGATTAGTGCAGGTGCACGAAGCCACTAAGATAAGAAACAGCAAGTCACCCTATCTCTTCCTCTTATCACAATTTTCTCAACAATTTCTCAACTCTTTTCCTGCATTTTGTCGCAGATCACAGACAATTCTCCTGGGAAGATGCTGCTGCAAATCAAAAGTGCCCTGTAGAGTCTTTCTCCTGGTGGACTACTACAATTCTTGCAGTAACCGAAGTCCGCAGGTGACCAATGTGGCTGGAAGCCACTTCTGCTACCTCATGTCCTCTTTGGTCAACAAGAAAACATTTGCTTGCTTCTTCAGCTTGCTACTGTGCAATCTTCTGCATGACTGTAGCAAAACAAGTAGTACAGCACGTTAGTGCAGTACGATGTCCATCCAAAAGCCTGATTTTATCTTCCTAGGTTTTTTCAAGAAGAAGTCCTTCAAAATAATAGGACTTACGTGCAATAAGTAAAAGCTGTCAGGTTCTCCAGTCATATTACCATTGTTGCTGGTGGAATGACTCCCAGTTTCTTCCACTAAGCAAGAAAGGAGCTTGACAGGAGTTTAGAAAGGGCCTTTATGCTACTAAAACAAAACACAGCTTCTACTGTGAAGGTCTGATAATCCACAAACCCAGAGCAGCTGGCCGTCTTTCTCTTTTCTGACATTTTGCAGGAGGCATGCTGCCAAGATCTGAAATACATTGTTAAAAATACACTGCATTTTCATTAGGGAATTCTAGGTTTCTCTGAGGTGAAGCTGTCTCCACGGGGAGTGAGAAGCATGTAAGGGGTTGTTTTGCAGCAGCAACAGTTTCCCATGGGCATTCCCTGGGATATGGGACAAAACACACCAGCCTGATGTTAAAGATGCAGTGTTAGGGAGAAGAGAAAAGGGACTTGAGCGTTTAACTAGAAAAGGTAGGTATGAAACGAAAAGACAATCACACTGAGGATCTTATCAGAAGCCAAAACGGGTGGTTTTGGAAGGTGCTGAAGGAAATGGTAGAAGAGGGAGGGAGTAGTGTTCCACTACAGTTACCAGAAGGGCTTTGGTAAACAATAGCAAAAATAGGCACACTGCCTAATCCCTGCTGACGGACGACTGCCGCCTCACTCCGCGCTGCTTTCTCTGGACAGCTTTCCAATCTGGCTGCCCATGCCGGCGGCAGAGCTGCCGGGGACTCTTACAGAGACGGCTCGGTGGCCAGCCAAGCCCGCTGAGCATTTCACTCCGTGCCACAAATAGCTGTGTGCGGAGCAGCCACGGCCCCAAACAAGGTGCTTGGCAAAGGCAGCTGCTGCTTGGCAACCTATTTGTGCCACCATGACATATCAGTGCACCGTCGGGACAGGCGGGGGGGATGAGTAAGCACAGTGCGTCCCACCACTTCCCTCACAGGTACGTGTGGTTTCATTTTAATGATATATTAACAGATGATATGCAGGGACTCTCACACGCAAAATACAGAACAACCTAGAACAGAAGTTTGACTGCAAAAGATGCGTGGGCTTGCAGTGCCCTGCTCTGATTTCTGCATCGACATTTTAAAGCACTAGTTGACCTTTTGTGGGGGTTCTTTATTGAAATTAAAAACATTCTTGGGTTCTGGTTGCTGCAATTGTTTATCTCTTAAGCAATAAAATACTTTCCCTGTTAAGCTAGTCTCCTAAGGCAGTTTGAAAGAAGGTATGAATCCTTCATATAATTCAAATGCACATTACAGGTAGGATTTTCACATGTCCTCAGCACAGCTCTAACTACTTTTTCTATTAAAAATGATGAAAAACCATCTTGAAACCACTGCAGTAAAAATCAGGTGAATTCTGAGTGCTCCTGGAAGTTTCATTCTTTAGTCTTCACCTCAAAATGCGTAATTAAGCTTAAGTGGTGGAAGTTTAAACAGGGCAAACAAAAAAGCAATTCTAGTTGCTTCATATCCTTCAGTATAAATTTATTCTAGTATAAACATGTCCAAAAAATGCTTTGGTCTCCGCAAACAGAGAAGGTTCACATTCCATCTCTCCATAAGGAAGTAAATATAACTGGAATAGACAGGTAAGCAGCAGCTTCCCACGCAATGTTTATCAGTCATTCAGGCACAGTGAAATATCAGCCTCTGACAGAATTTGCAGAAAGGGAGAGCAATATCCAACTACAGCATTTTCCTGTTCTAAGTAATATTTCAGCAAAGTATTGTGTTTTCTTCCTGCTGGTTATAAGTATTACCAAATGAAGTCATGCTCTGTACAAATCAAGTAATGACTTCTGTGTACAGATATTTGATGCTCTTTAAAACATTCACCTCTTCCCCCACTACTGTTTTCCTTTATCCTGTGCAGACAGGAAAAATAAAACAAACACAGTATAATATATGAGAAGCTCATAACTCCAATAATTTTGTGTTCCATGACACACAGCATATTATGAGTTACTCTTGAAATTCACACCTTGTGTAACTGACTGCATGCCTACTTCATTATGATATCCAAGTTTTGTATCCAAGTTCTTCCAACTCTATAAATTTTAAGGATGCATTTGCACTGATGCATTTTATATAATATTTACAGCCTTATTTCCAATTTAAGAATAATATAAAAGGTCACCCACTCAGTACTAGGGGCTGCACATCAAATGTCCCTGAGACACTCTCTGTGAAAAGAACCATCTTTTCAAGGTCAAAGAGAGAAGATCAGGTCCACACCAAGCTCCAAAAAAGTGACAGGACAAGAAGAAACAACCTCAAGTTGTATCAAGGGAGGTTCAGGTTTGACATTAAATTTTGTTTTTCATGCAAAGGGGTGTCAAGCATTGGAACAGGCTGCCCAGAGAAGTGGTGGAGTCAACATCCCTGAAACTGTTTAAAAGATATGTAGATGTGGCACTTGCGGACACAGTTTAAAGGTGGACTTGGCAGTGCTGGGTTACTGGTTGGACTTGATAACCTTAGGAGGTTGTAACAACCTAAATGATTCTATGATTCTAAAATTATGCAGTAATATATTTCTCCTTAGGGTAATGGTTTCCTAGCACCAATATTCAGTTCATGTCACTGATATCCACCAAAAATCCTCCACTGAATCCTAAGTGTAATGGCAAATGCCAACCTTTGATTGTGCCTGAGTCATCTGCCTGCACTGTGTGGAACCAATGTTTTGACAAGCTGAACACCATGACCTGAGCAGTTCATCTAGGAGCTATAATTAATACTATGACTCAACATAACACCCCAGCAATCAGGAGAGACTTCCAGTACATCCACGCAGCTCCTTGTAGGGCAGAGAGAACTGCAACACCAGGATTCCCAGCTCACAGCAACATCCTTATTATAGTCACATCTCCACTGGAGACACCATGCTGAGGACTGACCTTCAGCTTCAGTAACCTGCACGTCACAGACATCTTTTATTATTACCTTATTACTATTAATCTACACTTTAAGCAACATGATCTCTTCTCACTTTCATTAGTTTGAGCTTCTATATGATGAAGCACAAAGTTTTTCATTGCCTAAATTAATTTTGAGCAGAAGTACAATGTGCTATAGAAAACATCTCCTCAGCTGTTCCTCTTCTCTCACACATATACCAACTTGTAACTATTAGTCACTCCAGGTTTTGGTTTCACATTTTTCTCTTCCTACATTCACTACAGCATCACCAGGCTTTAAAACCTGGTGCAGACAATTGGCAGCTAAGCCAATACTGCAGCATGAAATAACAGCCTTCATATTCAACTGCCAAGAGAACAACCAGAAGCAGTTTATGTTAGTGAGACTCAAGAATGAGTAATGTATCAACAAGTAACGTTAAAATAGCATTTTGACTTCATTACGACAGTCTTAAAATTTAGGGTAATGCAAACTAAGGGTCTTCATCTTATTTATTAGTTATTCAATGCTAGTAGCATTCCTGTCAAGTAAACATGAATGAATTTCAGTAGCAGTTTGTGCAAAGCAAGACTTCCATGCATTTTTCTAGCAGGTTTGGCAAGGTTTTTTTAAACTTTTTTGCCAGGTTTTTTTAAAGTAATGGTTTCTGTCCCAACACCTGACTAATCCTCAATGAGTAAAGCAGCAGTGGACAGTTACAGTAGCTATTGTATGATGGAAGAGGATATAGAAGTTACCCCTTAAAAGAATATACTGCTGGGATCATTCAAAAGAACAGTGGGTTTTTTTGCTTGACAGAATGGAAGCAAAGGAAAGAGAGAAGATGACAGGGCTTTGTGCTTTCAATAAGAGGGATTCGATCCCTGCCAAGCCTCCTTCTGCTTTGCTACATACCCTGGTGTAATCTGAGGAGTAGCTTTAGAAAGCATTTTAGAAAGCATTTGAGTTTTACAACTATGCAAACACTTGTACATTTCAGGCAAAATTCATAATCCACAACTTGGTAGCTCATGGAGTTATCCTATTCTGAAGCTGCACTGCTACAAAGTCCTTTAAAAAAGTATATGCATTAGGACCAGTTTTACAATGTATCAGAAATATAGGGTATGCTTCACTTCAGTTTCTGAAATCTGGGAGAAGAAACAAAAAATTTTTGTTTCAACAAAAATTTTGTTCAAACAAAAACTGAAAAGCCAAATATTGTGCAGGACAAACAGCTTTCACTACAAACTTCCCATACTGGAACAAGGGGCCAGCCAGAGCAGTTTTGAGGCATGACTCTGAGTGGGAATCCAATAGTTGCATAGAAACAGAGTTCAAAAGGTAGACTCACCTTGGGATCAAGAACTTTATGATCTATGAAGAGTGTGGCATGCATGGATTTCACATGCTAGAAAAGACAAACATAATTGAACATTTGCTCTACCTTTGTCCACTCATTCCTTGCTAGAGCAGCTTGAATGTTTTGAATCTTTCATTTTAAAAAGCACAAGCTGAGAAATGCTGCCAGGTATTGCTATCTGTGTCTGCCAGTATGTTACTTCCTTTGAGGTTAATAATAAAAAGTTGTTAATTCATTTTTTTTTCTAGCTCTATTATGACCATTAGGACAGCCAGAAACAGAAGAAGAGCTACAAGGAAATATGTCACAAAAGTCAGAAACCAAATTTCTCTTGCTGGACAAAAGGCTCCAAAAGATCAGAAAGGTTCATCTATAAAGACACATCACAGGATGACTTTGAATCTGCTGGCAAAATTGAGCAGTATCATCAAAAAGCCCTGCTCATAGAGCATTATATTTAAAGCCATCATTTCAGAATTCAACCAGCAACTACCTAAAATGAGAATTTCTACAAAGCTCTCAGATGAAATAATGAAAACTGAACAATGGCAGCCTAAAGCTGCTATGATGAATCAAGCAAGGAAAAAAAAACCCATATAACTATGTGTACTACACCATCAGATAATACACATGAAAACTCAAAGCACTGAGTGACTTAAATAAATGCCCTGATGCTGGGTGCAAGGCAAGACCAGAGGAGTTAATTGAAGGAAAAAACACTGAATGCCACAAACTCCATAGGAAGTGTCTGAGCCACAGCTGGTGGCAAGCTGGGGTTACTACCAAGGGCAACCCCATAAAAGGCTCACTCTCATTCTACCTCCCTTCAGAGGCATCAACCTTTTGGCCATCCTCAGAAGCAGCATACTTGGCAAGCTGTTCCAATGCCTGGAGAGCATCATGTAAAAGGCTCATGGTCCTCTTGAGGACACTGTGTCAGTTAGCTTCAGGTTTCCTAGAACAGCTCAGAGACCTCAAGAAAACAAAACAAAAAAAATATACAGAAAGGTAATCCAAACTTACAACCTTTAGACTTTTCTCCCAGATACCTGCAAGTCAGTAATTTTTAGTAAGTGGTAACACTGACATAATTCAGTTTTTCTCTTCTGTGTGTAAATTCACTTCAGTGTGACAGGCTGTATTCAAAGGACAGCTTAATTATAATGAAGAATAATAGGCAATCACAGTACCTTTTCTTTAGAGAACACCTCTGATTAGGTATCATCGGGACACATGAAAACAACAGTGAAAGAAATGCACAATTTACCTTTAGTTAGCTAAACCTGTAAATAAGAGCAGTGAAAATCTTAATTGCTATAATTTAAATCCTGATTGAAGCTCATATGTCAACTAAAATGATAGATTTAAGAAGAAAAGCAGTTACTGCTTTGGTTGATGTTACACAAGCAGCTACCTCCGGACATTTGGAGTCATGAGAGGTGATAGCTCAGGCTAGCAAGTCAAGTAAAATCGCTTAGTTGTTATGCAAGGTAGGAGACAAGGGGTGAGAAAGAAGGCAGGCAAAAAAGGGTGTGTTCCTTAGGAGTTATTTTAACCCCTAGAGCAATGAAAAGTACAGAACAAATGAACAGTAAAGCCTCTAGTCATGTTCGTAATTATAACTAAGGTGCAATGCAAATTCTAGGTATCCCAATATTTAAATCCAACAACGAAACATATTTTTGCTGGCTGTAAGTTACTCTAATTAATGGTACCAATTCAGTGTTACATTTACATGGACAAATCCCTTCTTCAATTAGAGCAGCTAGCAGACAAGCTGAAGTGTTTCTTAGTTCAGAACTCCCAAGCACCTGATTCAAATGAATATTTATAGCACTCAGCTCTCCACTATTCTAGCAGAGTTATTAGGGAGAAGCACAATTCTTTTTCTTAGCACTTATTTTAAAGATTTTCCTGCTTTAATAAATTAATCACTTTTTTAACCAAGGTATGGAATAATTATTGCTTCACCTGCTGACACTTGGCAGGGTGAGCAAGTTAAACAACTCTCACAGAAAGCAGACATATAAATGTTAACATTGGTGATGCTACAAAGAAACATTACCAGGAAAAATCAAATTTAAGTAAGCTTCCAGGTGCAGACAGATCACTTATTTTCTCCTTAACCTGCTCTCGGTACCCTAAAGCATCAGAAGGCTCAACAGGTCTCTGGTTTCCCAGACAGTCCCTGACCATCATTTTCATTCCTTCTTCCTAGGAAGAGCAGGTCTTCAGAGCTGGATGGCTGGAGACAGCTGTACACCTTGTCTGGCTGCTACACGTGTGATTTTGATGGCAGGTTAAAGAGATTCGTGACCTTGCACAACTCCTGAATGCTGTATCTCATAAAGAAAGGGAGACAGCCCTACCGTATTGCCATTGAGGGGAATTTTATTAATTTGTTTCTTTTTACACACACCTACAAGGCTTGCTGTGCAGAGCCTATCCCCCAAAGGCTCATTGGGATGTAACAATGTGCTTATGCCTCCTGTTTTGCCTGCAAGGAAATCTTTGTGCTTGAAATTTTCGGGCACATCCACATGCCTTCCAGCCAGGAGTCAATGTGCAGAGGCAGGCAGGAGCCTGAACAGATCCAGCAGATCGCCTGCACCTACTCACACACATGTACCCATGAGCTTCACCAGCAGAGAGCAAAGGGAATGCAGATACTTTACAACTATTAATATGGAAAACATCTACAATGCTTTCTGCACAGAACAGAGCAGTGAGCTATGAGGACCTGACAGCTACTGATGGAAGCTCATCAATGACTACTTATTGTAAATGCTGAAATTTACTGTTTGGTAAAAACTTGAGACTAACCTCTTCAAAACTTGTTTACATTTTTAATGGCATTTGAATGCATATGAACTTAGGAAAGAGAACTACAGATAGTAGCTAACTGATAAAATTAATTTTTAAGTGTAATTGCAAAAAAACCTCCAAAGATATTTGCCTCTGCTTTTGTCAGTACCTTGTACTGAGCCTTGAGAATTAATAGTATCAATTCTTTTAGAGGAATCATTCTATTTGCACAAAAACCCATGGGATGAGAAAGGGAAAGAGCAAAAATAGCAAGCATACTGCTATTGCTAAGTGGCTCCTAATGATTAATCATAAATATATGTGTACAATTTCCTTTGCATCCTGTTTGCTGAGAAAAGCAGGAAAGAATAGCTCAGCATACAGTCAGAATTTTTTACATGCTGTTTCAAAAAACAAAGCAAGACAAGACCTACAGGAGATGCCATCTTTTTCCCATTAAATCAATATAGTTGGAAAAGAACAAGTCTTCAGAACAGTCTCTTCCGAAAAGCAGATTTTTCAGGTTGCATTTAGTTCAAGGACGGCTTGACAAGTTGCACACAGGAGAGACATGAAGGTGCCTGGCATCCTCCTGCATTTTGAACTCTGCACCCGGGGAGCATCCTGTATAATTTAGGTTTATGAGATGGTGAGTCTATTCAAGCAGGTGAAGAGAGGTCTGCATTCAGCATCCCAACCTCATTGGAGATCTAAACCAAGCACATTTTTGTACTTTACAAGTTCAAGAAAAGGATGGGCTATCCGGACCACCTTTTACAAGGCACAAACAGGCTGCAGCTCTCTAAAAATCAGTAAAGCACCAGTTGCATCTCTAGCAGCAGATTAAAAGGCTGCCAGAGAGATTATGGGGTTTGTTAAGTGATGCAGGGAGTGAGACAGAAAGAGAAGCCGTATTTCCTATTCCCACCAATATGATGTGCTGTCAGGACAAATTAAATGCATGTGATACATTATATGACAAACATATGTTCTGGTGCACATTTAGGAGTTTCAGTACATTGTTTCACAGTGCCCTAATTATTATATAATTATATAGTAATCTCACACAAATTAAGTACAAATGACACTGACAATCCCAGGAAAGAAAAAAGGCAGATTTTTGGCACCAAGTCCTGCTGAGCTGCTTTGAAATGCCAACACTTGGCTATGTCTCAGCTCAAGTTTGCAGGTACACAGATGCCTGTCCTACCAAGCACATCTGGCTCCTGCTGTGATGGCTGGACCCAGCAGGTGAAATTAAAGGTTTTAAGTACAGAAGTTCTCAAAGGGTGACCTGGGGACACTGGCACCTTGAGTATATTTTGGCCCAGGATTAGAAGAACACTACTTGAACTGAGAAAGCACGTTTCAGTGAACTGTTGCTGGAGGGCTGATATTATTTAACACATCTGGATTAATATGTATGCAAAACAAAATACAAAGGCATTAGAACAAAGAACTGGAGAGAGATACTATGAGAGGGCATTAAAAAGCCATGGATGGCAAGATATATTTAGCAGACATAAAAGAAACCTCTTGTCTTTCTTGTGGACTCTAGATACTCTGAAAGTATTAGCTAAGGACAGGCATCTAAGTGGCACTGGGAGAATATAAAAAAAAACTAGAGGTTTCCATTTTTAGAAAACTAATGAGCTTCTCGTCTTTGTTCCCAATTGTTCTTTGCCCTGTTGACATGTCATAATTCTGTATGTATAACGCCACAACCTTTTGTCATGAAGAATGCAGTAAAAATTACAAACAAGCCTGCCTTGCAACACGCTGAACTATCACAATAGCGGTTAGGAATATGGTTAGGAAGGAGCAAGGTTTAGTTTGAATAAGAACCAGCTTAAGCTATTAGCAAACATAAGATAAGCTCTGTTTTCAGGTATGGGTTGTCCCCCTGTGCTCTAAAAGCATCATCTGACCATGTTCTAGTCACCTTCTTGTACCTCCAACACTCTTCCCTCCACTGATCCACAAGCCCGATTCACTATTTCCTCCAATTTGGATTTTATTTCTCAAGACCAATCCCTGTTTCATGTATTTCTCATCTTTAAATGGAAGAGGCTCGGGAGATTAAAACACCCAGATTTCTACTGGTGCAGTAAATATATCCCTTCCCCCTGTCCAGCCCCAAAATGGTCTAATTCCTATCTTGGATATGCATAGTAATAACAGCAACACAACCATACAGATTTAATACACATTTTTATGTATATGCTTTAGAAAGAGGCTTTATCTTCTCCAAATAGATCTATTTTTCTTCATTTCTAGTTTTGTACAAAAGAAACTAAATGTCCAAATGTCAAGAATCTCTGCACATCTCTTACTCTGCTAAGTCTGGGTATTCTTCCAACTGCAGTCATATGAATATGACATATATACTGCTAATGCTATTAGAAATCCATCTCAGAAATCAATTCAGAATTAATACTACAAAGAGATACCAAACACACATACCAGACCTGCAAGTTAACACACTCCTAGAAGTGATATATTTCTGACATCTCATGGCAAATAATCTCTGTAAGTTACAATCGTGCATTTTGCCATGATTAAGGTCCTTAGTTGTAACAGAAGAGTAAATCCCCTAGATCTGAGTAACCATTCTTCTGAACTCACTAATGCAGTTCACAAAAGCACAGTAACAACCTTTCAAATTATACAGCACTCCAACCTGATGCACAACCACTACCTAGGAAAAATAATCTAAAAATACAGTGAGACAGGCATTAGGAGATAGGAAGTACTTCCTTTCCACTGAGGCTTTTGTTAGCAGATACACAAGGTTCCTTTGCTGAGAAGCTTGAAGTGGGAATAGATTGCTTTCATGCTGAGCACACTCAGGAAAACATCTTAGCATTTTTACTCTTTTTGTGGGGGCGTCTGCACTTAACTCAAGTTGCAAACAGATCTTTAATTTTTCTGCTACAAACAGAGGCTATTTGCAAATTCATTGTTAATTTTTTTCAAAAGGTTCACCGCATCAGGAAGATAACCCCAGACACTAAATGGCTTTCTGATTTTTGGTCACCCTTGCTCAGCAAAGTTAGGCTAAGTGGCCCTGCAGCATTCTTTTGTCTAAAGCTCTTTCCACAGCAAAGAGCCCCCCATGAAGAGATGCAGAGCCCAGCAGCCACCCCAGCTCCAGCCTGGTGCAGGGACTGTGCCAAGACCTGAGAGGCAGCACAACCCACAGAACCTGGGTGACCCAGAACGAACTTCAAAGCAGACGGAGCAAAGTTGCCAGGCTCCAAAACGTTTATTTACTTCCGAGTGCTGGCCATCAGAAGGGATCCCTAAGTAAACACCAGCTAACATTTGCCCTCCCCAGAGTCAGGGAAGGCTGGCACACCATCGCCAGAATGCGCAAGGTCACCGCATGGCTCCTACTATCCCACCTTCAGGGGTTTTTCTGTCGTGCCTCGGGGCTGCTTCTCAATCCATGTGTTTTGCAGTGACTTTCCAGAGCTGTGGATGCATTTTGTTTGTAAAAAACACCGAAGCAAGCGGGCAGCAGAGAAGGGCTCGGTGCCCTGTCAGTACCGTCCATTCACACTCACCTCAGGTTCTCTTCCTGTGACCCGGGCAGGACACTGTCAGGACGATCCCGTCTCCTCCTGTACAGACCCGAATGTGACAACTCTTTCAGCTGCAAGGCCGTCATATTCCCCTACCTGGAGGAGGGTTGGTTGTTTTTTTTAAAGGTGAGGGGGGTGTTTTGGCTTTGGGTTGGGTTTCTTTCCCCCGCCTCTCCCAGCTGTGGGAGCCGAGGAGCGCGCCTGCCAAGATGCCTGGAGAGCAGCGGCTGGGCGGTGTGTCGGCACACCTGCGCCCGCCGGAGCCACCAACCTCTGCAGGCAGGCAGGGCAGGCACCCGCCGAGCTGCTTCCTGTTTCTCATAGGTACACACCCTCCCAAAGGGCACCACATTTCCTTTATCACTTGGTCACACCTAAGGGATGTGTGCGACAAGCTCACCCCCTTCCCTCCAGCTTTCCTCAAACTCTCACGGCTCCGACAGGCACGACCCTGCCCTGTGCTGGGCAAAGCAGGCGGCTCTTCCAGCGCCT